TCATGCACATACAAACAATCAATATAAATTTATTATTAATGTATTAATCAAATTCAATTCAATATATTATATCTACTATTTATCGATACATGATAGTAAATAACTACAAACATTTATAATACTGTGACCAATAAAAAAAAGAATATATATATCAAAATAAAGCTAATAAAAGTATCATTAACTAATGTAAATAATTGAAAAGAACCAAAATATTATCATAAATTAAAAGTACGAGTACTTATCTCAATGAAAATTAATTTGGTTTGTCTTGATGCCGACTCTTCTAAAATTGATGTCTATAATTCATATTACAAAACTTTAATAAATTATTTTAATTATCTATTAAATTTTGTTTTTTAATATTAATTTTTCATTATTGCTTGGGTTAATCTTCCTGCTTGAGCTTCCACACTTCACCTCCTATTCCCCTCAAAACTGAAATTCTAACTAAAAGTCCTATATAGAGAGAGAGAGAGAGGTAAAAAAGAGTTATGTTTTTACCTCTCTATTCCCAGTCGAGCACTATCCCATGCCCACGAACCCTTCTTCTACGCACATGAGAGCTTCTTCTTCCTCTACATGTAGATCAGCCTTGCACGTCGTCTTCGTTCCTCTGCCTTTTGTCGCGGCTCGATGAAGCAAAACAACAATGTGATCCTCTTCTTCCTTGAGCACAGCGCATAAGGCCGCTACATCGTTTCCTCGGCTAGGAAAACTTGCAACGCCTCTCTTTCCTTCCTCTGCTCTCTGACCGCACACATGAGAGCTCCCGCCTCTCGCGTCTATCTTTTGGAAAAAAAGCCTCCTTGGCTTCTGACCCCTCACTTCCTCTCCCCTCTGTTCGGTTTCCCAACTACTCATTTCTTCTGTTATTCATTTCCTCTCCCCGGGTATCTGAAACGGGACATCACAGTCATTTTCTGCTTCTGATTCGTTGTCATCCCGCCCTTCACATCGGATTTCCACCGACATCCATCAACTTACCTACCACTTTTTCGTGAGCTTTCACAGCTACTAGAAACCCTAGAACAGTATCACTTAAATTAAATTCAGTCATGATAGCAGGGTTACCCCAAACCCCAATAAAATGATTATACTATTGTTGAAATTCAAATAGGTGGTTACATGCAACCAACTAAAATAAGAAAAACAATGGCACTAATATAAAAACCTCACTAAGGTTAGGATTGAAGGTGATGGTTGCAGTTTGAGGGAAAAATTGAGAGGTATGAGGAGTTGAGTGATCGAGCAATAGCTAGAGAAGGATGACCTGCGACTGGACAACAATGGGGAAGCCGGAAAAGGGTGGAAAGGTGGCGACAGAAAGGGGAGTGGGGCTTGTACGGTTGTCCGGTGGTGAAGAGCAACGATAGGTTGGGGCAGCTGTAAGGAAGGCTGAGAAGATAATGGGAGGGAAAAGGCGTAGGGAGGGGATTGTGGGCTGCATAAAAAAAAGTAAAAGCTTGTTTTCCAATGGCGGCAGCAAATACGTGAGGGCGGAGGTGAAAAAAAAGTTGTAGGACAAGGAAAATCAAAGATAAATGTCCCTACAAAATAGAACTAGAGTCGGGGCATCATTCGAGCCTTGTGAGATGGTCATAACCTCAGATGATTTATACTCGAAGGACCTTCTCATCCTCAGATACAACTCAATTAAAGACACCGAAAGTCGAGTGTTTTCCAAAACAAAAACACACAAATTCGAAAAAACACATGAATCAAATATATAAGTCGTAGGTAATTAGAATTGGGTCCACTTTTAAAAAGAGGCACCAAATCCACATAAGAAAAGTCGGCCATCCCATAATTCCATGTTATAACCAGTCCTAGGTAGCTAGAAGCTTTTTTGCTTCCGATCCAATTCGCAAGACTTTAGCAAAGGTTGCAAAAAACAAGACTATAGGAAAGGTAGCAGAAATCGGTATTGCAGAGAGCACTCGCGTCAATCCCCCAGAGTTGAGGGAGCTTTGGCCTCATCAGTAGAAGCTTCTGCTTTTTAATAGTATTCAAGTCAGTCCCTTTAAAGGTAGCATAAGTCTTGCAAGCTTCCAATAAATCAATCCTGCAAGCTTCTGATAGATCAATCTTGTGGGAGTTGTCATTCAAAACCACATCCTAATAGAATAAACCTCCATCCACTTTTGACATAACTTGAGCTGAAGCTGCATAACAACGTAGATTCTCACAAGTCCAATCCCGAGCAAGTAAATCTATAATTTGCATCTCCAACTTCTCATACTTGGTTGGATGTATCTGATAAACAAGTATCTCAGGAGGAATCAACTTTGGAATAAAATCTACAATAGACTGAGTCACTTTCACTAGCAACCACTCAGGAGAGACATTTGTTTCTCTGATAGGAACTAGATCACATTAAAGAATGTTCTTTTCCTCAAAGATTTTAAGGTGATTTCCAATCTTGTGGTTCATCCATCCCGCCTGATCAACTGTCGGGGATACATTGGTGAACAAATTTTAACACACAACTGACTCCATATAGTCTTCCAAAAGTGGCATAAAAGAGTCTTGTCTCTGATATGTTGGACCTCTTTCATTAGGGCCAACTCAAAAGGTAAGTTAATTATCTGAAAATTTTGAAATACTCTTCTTTGAAGTTGCTCTGTTTTTAGTATCAGCTCGTCAAACTCATGGCCCTTTTGGACATCCAATTCCAATTTTGTTAATACACCTCTCGATGCCTGCAAAAAGATAGCTCGAGGCACCACAACCTCACACTCTGCATGAACATCCATCACCTCGGGCACACTACCTCCTAGAACAACAACTGTCAACTGAACTGTAATATCTTTTGAATTCAACTAGAATCAATGTTCTCTTCCTCATTGGTTGAAAGATGATAATCCTCTGCATGCTTCATCTTCTCCTGAATCACTATTTATTTATTCAGTTGCTCTCTGATTTGTGAAAGAGATCACTCTCCTAGTTGTGCAATTTAATTCGGTATACATAAATCTATGACACTTGAAACATTTCCTGACTGGGATGGATTTGGAAATAAAGATTGGTTCCACCTATTCTCCACTCTGGCCTAGTACCTCCTAGGACAGGGATAACTTGGATGTTTCTCTGGGTGTACTCTGACTATAAGATCCTGGGGTTGAACCCAATCTTTAAGATGTTGTAGTCCTCTGATGATGTGGTCTATCCATAAGCTAGGGTCTGAACATTCAATATGTAATGAATTGGTAGTTATTAGTGTTGCAACTTTCATTTCATCTTGGACCAGGTAGTTATCTTTTCTTTTCCTCACACTGGTGTATTTGCTTTAAATTTTCTGACAAAGAATACACTCATCTTTAGCTTGTTGGCGGCTAACTTCACCAATCTATCTGGCGGGATTTCTTGGAACTCAAAGAAAAATTTCACGGTCTGAAGTCACTCGATAAACTTATCAAGATCTAAGTGAACATCAAAATGTAGCAAATTCACTGTTACTTTAAAATCCTGACTTCTTAGATATTGCAGGTCAAATCTTTGAATTTTAAGTTCTTCATTTTTGGGATCGAATGGAGTTTGGATGACCCCTATGAATGGTCTTCTATCCTCAATTTCATCAAGCCGTTGTATCATTCTACGGATTTGTCGTTGTATCTCTTCCATGATAAACGCTCGATTAGCATCCAACACTTATATCCTCGGTAGCCTGATTAGGGTTTGGGTGTGGATAGGAGGACTGAGGTGTGTGATGGTGATGTAGGGTGGGAAAGAAAAAATTGTGGGTGAAGATGTGGGGATGCTAGAAACACGAGAATAATATTAGAGTTAGGCTATCTCTAATATCAAATGATACCGGAGTTAACCCGAAACATAATAAAATAATAATGTATTATTGAAATTCAAATAGGCAGTTACAAACAATCGATTGAAATAGAAAAAAAACGATAAAAACATAAATACCCCACTACGGCGAGGTTCAAAGGTGGTGGACGTGGTTCAAGGAGGAGGAAATTGACAAGCATGGGGGTTGAGTAGTCGAGCAGCAGTCAGATGAAGGCTGACCTATGACTAGACAACAGCGAGGAAGCCGGAAGTTAGGTGGGAAGGTAGCGACAACAAAGTTAATGAGGGTTGTAGAGTTGTCTGAAAGCAAGACAACAGGTTAGGTGGCTTTGAGGGAGTCTAGGAAGGGCGGCGGAAGGTTGGAGCGGATGTAAGGAAGGTTGGGAAGGTAAGGAAAGGAGAAAGGAGGTAGCAAGGGACTGTGGGCTTCAAGAAAAATAATAGAGGGGTTGTTTTTCAGTGGCGACAATAAATATAATGAGGACAGAGGAGAAATAAAGATTGTGGGAGAAGGAAAATCGAGAATAAACTTCCCCGCGGGATCAAACTACAGTTGGGGAACCATTCGAACCTTGGGAGACAGACACCACCTCAGACAAGTTATAGTCAGAACAGCTTCTCGCCTTTAAATACAACCCTAGCAGAAAAACACCCGAAGCCGAGCAAAACTGAAAAACCTAAACACATGATAGAAATATGTAAGCCCTAGGTAATTAAGACTGAGCCCACTTTTGAAAGGAGGTGTCAAATCCACGTAAGGAGGTCGGTCAATCCTCAATTCCGTGTTCTGGCCGGTCCCAAGTCACTAATAAGCATTTCCACATCCAGTTCAGCTCACTGGACTGGACTTTAGCAAAAATCGCAGAAAATGAGACAGTAGCAAAGGTATCAAAAAAAGGTACCGTGGGGAACTCCTGCATCAAATCATCTCTCTCTTTTCAACCAATTTTCTTTTTTAGGCCTTTACAACTAACTTTATTAACTTTAACTTTTTATAACTTTTTTATTTGAAAATGTTAAACACATTACATATATATTTGTTTTTTTCAAATCCTAAAAAAAATTGTACAATACAAGTATGTACCATTTTATGTCTAATACCCATCCCTTATTTTACTAAATTGAAGACTCAAATATACATCCACTAATGAAAATTTACTGCGGATTTAGATAAATTTTGTTTAGATCTGTTAGCCTACCTGGCAACATAAAAGACAGCATTTTCTAACATGAACAGCTTATTTGAACAACCTATTGCAAGAGCTCCACCGGATCCACCTTCACCAATAACAACAGTGACTATTGGGACCTTCAAGCCAAACATAGCCCTCAGGTTGTAAGCTATTGCTTCTCCCTGCATGTGAATAGAAACAAAGAACAAACTCACTTTCTATAGTTGTGGGAAAAAATTGTGAGATACAATCACTACATGATACTACAGACAGCCACTTACTTGCCCGAGTTCTTCAGACTTGAGATCAGCAAATGCACCAGGTGTATCAATAAATGTTATAATAGGAAATCCATGATGATCAGCATATCTCATCATGCGCAAAGCCTTCCGATACCTTTGCAGGATAACTAATTTCAAATGTGCTCGATATGCCAAACTAACTAGTTAAAATTTGAAGCACAATGGAATAACTTAATTCCAAACATATTTTAGTCATTAAGTAAACTTCTCATTCAGATATTATGCAACCTGTTATGCAACCTGTAAAATTAAGTTCATGTGCATGATGGAAAAACTGATTTTCAAAAGTATTCTAATCAATAAGGAAACTGCTCATTTAGATACTACGCAAACTGTAAAATTATTTTCATGTGCATTGTAGAGTTGAAGTTAAAAAAATTATTTCTAAGATAAACTTATCATTCATAAGATGAGTCACCTGTAGACAATAAAAGCATCTTGTGAAATTCTTTTATACCTTTTCTTATCTAGTAGTTAACAGAACAAGGCAGTGGTAAATGATTATGCGTGCCAAATGACCATAATGATATATTGTTACCCATGAGGAGTTGGCATTCCAAAATTCCGATGAATATTTTCTTTGGTATTCCTTCCTTTCTGATGGCCAATAAACATATAAGTTTTTCCATCTATACTTCCTAGACCAGTAACAATGGCTGGATCATCATAACCTGCACGATCACCATGAAGCTCCACCCACTAGACAACACAAAGAACAAATATCAGTAAGCATAGAATGATAAGGATACCCTTGAAAAAGGAGAACGGACATAACATAAGGAAAGAAGATTACCTTTTCAGTAATGTTTAAAACATGGTCAAGAAATGTAGGCCTGTTTGGATGGCGAGCTATACTTAGGCGTTGGATTGGAGTTAAATGGGTGTAGAGATCTTTTAAAGCCTATAGAAATTATGACAATAAAATCAAGGAAAACAGATAAGAACCTGTCACTGAACTGATAAATGAGAAGATACATTAGTGAAGACTGATTAATACATTAAAGCATTGGCCAATGATCACAACCAACTCTTCTAGAGCTATCCTGGTTAAATTTTTACATTAACTTTTGCATTTGTAAGTACTAGAAATGGGCAGTGACGTGCAAAGCTAGAATGCATTAACGTTTTACATTTCAGATCACTATGATTCTAGGTTTAGGTTCACTTGCTTTGATGGCTATGAGAAAAAAAATTTCATCATCAACAGCAATTTCTTTTGGAATTTTTCTCTTCATCTTTTGAAAAAAATGAGTATCATTGTAATCAAGCAAGCCACACTAAGAAAGCAATTCAATCAGAAACAAAATCTGGAACAATAAAATAGTTCCAAAACTGTTTAAGTGTTGATGATGTTCACTGATAGGTATACATTTAAATATCAAATTCATGACATAAGTGACAATAGTCGTAGCCTCAATATGAGGCCTAAGGATAACCTACGAAGCAGCAATATTGGCATGAGTAACGAACATGATAAAGATGTGATGACAAATTGAATCATGGACAATATAAAACACACAGCACAAAAGATAGTTGATTACTAAAACTAATATTAGCCATATACATAGTCAGGATAAGCAATGAAGAAAATATGGTTATATATATAAGAGAGAGAGAGAGAGCATCCATAATGGAAACCTCAAGAACATTAAAAGGTAAAAATAAAAATTACTCCAATATTTTATGCCCCAATTTTTCGTACATCAGTGAATGCGAAAAAGCATTTTTAAAACATTCCACATACACACACCAACAAACACACACACACACACACATATATATAATACACAAGCCTTTAAAAAATCAGTTCATTAATTTAATTAAGGAAAATTTACATGCACACCACTCAATTCTTATATATTTATGAATATTTGCTACCTTACCTATGCATAAAAAGGTGTGTTTCACCTCTTAAAGTTAAAATAGTGGTATTTTTTATCTGATATGAAAGATTTGGGTGCTATGAATGTAAAAAGTGAAGTTTTGGTGTTAGATATGTAAAAACATAAGAAATGGGAGGTATCTATGTAAATGCCCCTTTAATTAATTATCTAAAGTCTAATTAATGCTATTGTTTATATGATTTCTTGTAGATCCAACTATTACACTGGCATAAAATTCATTAGCTGATGCAATATTTGATGGCTGTGAAGGATTTTATAACAGAACGTTAGGTTTATATATAATAGAATTATTTATATATTATTAACTCAAGCCTCAAGCACTAACAACCAGCCATCCAATTCATTTCTATTACTCTTTCAAAGCAGATATAGAGAGCAGGGAAAAATTCAAGGCCGTATGGGAAAAAAGAACAAGAGAGCTAGATTAGTGAGGTTAAATCCCATCTTTATCATTTTTTCTAAAGACTGAGTTTGTCATAAAGTTGGTAGGCTTAAATACTTAATGAGCATAAATCATTTTGAGATAAAAATATTATTTAGAGTTTATTTAATTGATTAATGAGTTCATAAATTAAAAGTTTGTATAAATTGAAGAAATTGTTATTTTATTAGGTTTTCTAAGAAAGAGTAAGTCTTAGGAAATCCATTCTAAGAAGGATCCAACGTTTTTAGTGAGATGCTCAATCCCTAAATTGAAGAAATGAGTTCATAAATTAAGAGTTTGTATAAATTGAAGAAATTGTTATTTTATTAGGTTTCCTAAGAAAGACTAAGGCTTAGGAAATCCATTCTAAGAAGGATCCAACGTTTTTGGTGAGATGCTCAATCCCTAAATATAAAGGCAAATTATTCTTAAGCCTAATGCTTTTAATCCCTACAATTCTATTAGACTGGAATATGTATGCTAGTTTAAATTCTTCATATCAAGAATGACAAGATGACGTCAGTAAGTCAATTGCATTTTTATATGATCCCCTATTCAAAACAATTTTACAATATTTTGATAAAATTCAAGTTTTAAATTGTTTAATAATTTATGATACAAATTAAAGAACCCAGATCAGAGCTTTTACATATTATGCTATGACTTCGATGCATGTTAATACAAGTTAATTACTAGCATAATAGCACGTGCATAATAATGTTAACTAGAATGCTCATGATACAAATGATAAAAAGAAAGCCTATATAAGGCCATATCACGGAGATAGGTTGGTAGATTATGATAACCTATGTAGAGAGTTGTACAAATTCTATTAAGATTGGCCGCATAAAGGTCAAAAGAGGCTTTCGACTTTCAACATCTGCCATGCCGAAACAGCACAAAATCGATCAATGATAAATTAGTCTTGAAGACCAAGATCAAAGATCTATTAATAACTGCTATATTAGGACAAGTTCAACCCTTATTAATAATGATAGGACCGACGGACTAGATGATGCCCTTATGATATCAAAATATGTCGAAACCTAGACAAACATTATGTCAGGTTTGAGAATAGAGCGAGATGTCTTATTGATAGAAACAGAGGTATACAAACCCAATTATAAGGGGCACTCATAAGGAAAGAACTAAAACGGTATAAAGAAAAGTAGGAACGAAATAAAAACATAATAAAATAAAAAAGCAAATAACAATAAATAAAAGAAAATTTGCATACTAATAACGGCTAAGGATAGCCATTAATATTTTAATATTTCAATACTCTCTCTCAAGTTGAAAAATAGATGTTAATCATGTTCAACTTAGGTTTGAAGTCATCGAGCAGTGGCCAAGAAAGGATTTTTGTGAGGATATCCGCTAATTGGCCACTAGAGAGCACAAAAGAAATACAAATTTCCCCGGACTCAAGTTTTTCCTAGATGAAGTGTCTGCCAATTTCCATATATTTGATATGATCATGTTGAACTGGGTTGTAGGCAATGCTAAAGGGGGTCTTATTATCACAAAACAACTGCAGAGGGTCGGAGGTAGGCATGCGTAGTTCGTGGAGCATGATGTGTAATCAGAGAGCTTCACAGATCACAAAGGACATAGATTAGAATTCAGCTTCAACACTATTTCGGGCAACCACCGACTGTTTTTTATTTTTCATTGTGACACGATTTTCTCATACAAATGAGCAGTACTCAGAGGTAGATCGTTGATCATGGACTGATCTGGCCTATACAGCATATGTATAAACAACAATTGAACAAGAGGTGTAGTGTGAGAAAAATAAATCTGAGTCTGGTGTGCCTTTTAAATAGTATAGAATTCAGTTAACAACGTGGAGATGGTGCTCATAGGAGTCATGCATGAATTAACTTATTATACCAACCGAATGACATATGTCGGAGAGTGTATGGGCGAGGTAGATGAGTTTCCCCACAAGATGTTGGTAGTAAGTTTTGTTAACAGAGTCTGCATTGAAAACATCAGATAATTTTTCATTATGATTTATTAGGACAACTACCAGTTTGCACAGAAATAGATTATTATCTATTAACAGGTCAATCACATGTTTGTGTTAAGACAAATAAATGCCCTGAGATGACAGAACAACTTTCATACCTAAAAAACATCAAAGGGATCCCGAGTTCTTCACTTCAAAGACAAAGCTAGACTGTCTTTCAAAGACTCTAATACCGGTAGATCATTTCCCGAGAACACAATATCATCAATATAGACAATAAGAATAGTAATATGTCCATTGAATGAACGTCGAAAGAAGAGAGATCCGATTGAGTCTGAATAAAACCATGACCCACAACTACATTTGTCAACTTGTCAAACTAGACCTGTGGGGATTGCTTTAGTCCATAGAGGGATTTTCGCAGCCGGCAGACTTGTCCTGGGGAGGCAGCAGAGTCAAAGCCAAGGGGAACAGACTGTACACCTCCTCTCTAAGATCTCCGTTCAGAAACGCATTCTTGACATGGAGCTGAAATAAATGTCAATTCAGATTCACCGCAAGAGATAGCAGGACCCGAATGGTGTTTAACTTGGCCACCGGAGCAAATGTCTCCTCATAATCAACTTTGTAAGTCTGCGAGTATCCATTGGCAACCAACCATGTCTAATGGTATTCAAAGGAGTCATCTGAGTTGAACTTGATGCTAAAAATTCAATGGCATCCCATTGTTTTTTTTTACCCCAAGAAATATCTACGACGATGGTTATGTTGAAGGGCATTCATTCCATCCATTACTACAACTTTCCAGGCCATATACGCTAGTGCAGACTCAATAGTAGCTGAGATCTAATGATCTGTGAGGGTAGTAGCAAATGCTCTGTAGGTCGGCAATAAACTGTGGAAAGAGACATATTTTACCATGAAAAAGAAAGAGCATGCTTGATTGCGTATCTTACTCGGGGAACTCACCTCCTCATTTGGAGTAGTAGTGTTGATGATGTCGCTAGGAGTGGATTCAAGGTCATGCAAGGAGGTAGCGGGCTCCAGAGTGGGGGCATCGGGAAGAGTGCCCAGTGAATACACAGAGAGTGGGAGGATGAGATGGTGGAACAACAGGAAGTAGTGGTTCCTCAATGGCGAGAACAATGGGAGGAACATCCATAGCAATAGGATAAGGAATAGTGTCCAAGAACTCTAGCTCCCCCTCACTTAAGCTCGAGCTAATAAAATAAGAAACACTTTCAAAAAAGGAAACATCGACACTCACATAAATTTTGTTTGTGGTAGGATCAAGACATCGATACCTTTTTTGAATGGCAGAGTATCCTAGGAAAACACATTTTATAGATTTGGGATCAACTTTAATTTGAGTAGAGTTAGTGTTCCGATCAAAGGTTGTGCACTCAATTATTTTGGGATCTAAAGTAGAGAAAACCCGACTGGCAGAAAAGCATGACATCAAGACCACTAAGGGGGTTTGGAAGTTGTGAATTTTAAAGGGGACTATTTATGAGAGAGGTGGCAGTCAGTATGACATCATTCCAAAAATGTTTCGGGACATTAGATTGACATACTAGAGCGAGCAACGTCGAAAAGATGTC